TGACACTAACGGTAACACGCTGAGCCCTTTCAGAAAATTGGTCGTATCATACGTGTTTGTTTTGAAGCAGATCTCATCACCCTCATACCTGTCGAGCAGCATGTATCCAGAAAAGAATCACACCGTGCCTTGATTTGTGAGTGATGCTGCAGGATTCCCTCCTAAAAGACAGCTGCAACTGCTCAGTGCCCCACTGAAATATTATGTTCTTACTAATCTACGTAAAACTGGTCTGAATATGATCAAGCTGAACTGAGTAAGTATGGGTTAATGCTTGATGCCTAAGGAACTAGGTTTGGTCCTCATAGGACAGAAATAAATTATGAAAAGGCTATTTCTGGACCAAGGAGTTTCATTTGGAATAGTCAGCTGTCTTCAGGGGTTAAAAATAGAAAATAAACCTTTTCTAGTTCAAAGAAAATAAATGTCTACACTTATCTATGTGGATAATTAAAAACAGCTAAACTCAAAGAGCTGAAACCTTCCACACAGCTAGTTCCCACTGAGGACCAGCTTCCTAGCAGCATTTGACATATTAGAGAATAATGTCATGATTAAGGATCACTCTGGGGTAAGTGCAGTGCTGCGTGCTGCTACATACAAAGGCAAGTTACTGGTGATGGTACTACAGAACAGACTAAAATGTTTGAAAAAAAACCCAAAAAATCTTTTCAGGCAGGCCCACACCACCTCTGCTGACCCCGTCTGTTGCTCAGAGCAGAACAAATGCTTCATTTTCCCTTCTGCAGCTGTACAGAGGTGTGTGCCCTGGCCCTTGCTGTTGCACGGATGCTGTTTCTATTCAGGTGACTGCAGCAATGATTCCCATGCTGCTGTCCTACGTCATGGGTTCTCCAAGACTCACAAGGGCATCACTAGTGCAATGACCATCTTCCCATTTTCGTGTACTGCCATCAAGCTTCCCATTTTCTGCCTTTGTTCACCAAATCAAGTGATCTGACAGATCATGTGGTCTGGCAGAAGTACATGAAACCGAAATGATGATGCAGAATCAGTGAGCTCCAGAGGAAGGACAACGTGGCAAAGAGGAAGAAGCAGAGCAGACGTTCTCACAGTGAAACTGCTCTGCTTCCTGTGAGCACATCACATCTCCTTACCCCCTCAGACTCCACTCAACTTCAAACTGACAGGCAGCTATCAGCTGCAAGGGCATCTGGAGGAGTCAGCAACGTCTTTCTGCACAAAGGACTTTTTAAAGACAACTCTTTTTCATGTTTCATCCAAGCAGCCTACAGGAATATGAAATCCCAAACTTTGATTTTTAGCCAGACAATCAGTCTTTTTAAGCCTGCTAAGCTGCAAGTAGATACCTCTTATATTTGCAACATATTTTCTTTGTTTAGCCATGGCCAAAAAAAAGTAAAGCGATAGCATACTGTCCTCTTTAAAGTTATATTGGACCATACAGTCAACTCCAAAGACAATTTCCCAGATATATGACTGCCTTCCAGGCCTGAACTCTTTCAGGCTGTTTCTCATACTGGCGAGACAAAAGCATCCCTACTAACTTGCAAATATCGAGGCCATACAAATTCCTGGGCCCTGAGTGCTGCCTACACATCAGATGTGCTCCAGCCACAGCCAGGCAGGAGGCAAAAGAAGGAGGAGGACCATGGAATGACTTCTTGCTGCTTTCTTCAGCCCTTGCCTTCTCTGTTGCTTCTCATCTTCCCTACTCACCTTGCTCCATTTTGCTCCCTGTCTTTCTGATTAATACCATTTTCCTCCCTGTCTTTCAGGCAAGGGGTTGGCTAGGTACACAGATATGTGAAGAGCATGTTCTCATGCTGAGGAAAGTCAGCACAGCTCCACATCCTGGGGTCTTTTTTTATCTGCAAAGGAATATTTCCCCCAGCTTTCTTCCTTCCTAAAAGCAGTGCTGCTACCACAGCCTGCCTACCCATCACTGCTCCACTCTCCCTAGCTTGTTGCCTCCTCATTTCCTCCACTGATTCTCAGCTTGGTTTCCTCGCATTTCTTTTTTCCTCAGCTCCACTCCATTTGCAGGAGCTGGGGTCTGCACAGTGAGGGCAATGTGAGATTAATCAAGTTTGGAAAAATTGTCTTTTCTGTGCACACATGATGCTTTTTTGTTGTTATTGTTGTTTTTTCCCTTCAACTCTCAGTGAAGATAAATGTGTCCAAAACTGCTGTGAAATTCCTCAGAGAAGAGCTGACAGAGCTCTCAGTCAGAGCTGTGCCATGCCTGTTTCTGGCATAGGAACCCATATGCATCTCACAGCAAATAGAACAGCAACCACTGATAGGAATAAAACAAGTCTCAGCACAGCACATGCAGGTATTTTAATGGAAAGAAGAAAAGAGAGCGAAATGAAAAGAAAGTATCACATACATTCAAGTCTTTCACTGCTTAATGCAGACGTACTGTATCACTACATCATTTCACTTCATTTGGTGTGAAACTGCGGTAAGCCCATTAAAGCTGAAGGAGCTGCATCTGCTGATCACAGTGCAGTTCACTGCATCTATTGCTGCAACATCATTGCCTCCCATATGGTGCTGTAACTACTCAGTATGCTGAATTGGGCACTGCCTAATATCTGTGTGTCCCAAAGGCTGCACTGATCTTACCCTTACGGAGAGAAGATCCTATCCTTTTCTCTGCTGAACACACCCATTGCCACCAGGCAGCTTAGAAGTTTGAGTGTGTTATGGAGGATTTGCCACTCCTCTTCTTGCACTGCTGAACACAAGGTACTTGGCTCAGGATCTTTCAGCACAGAGCACAGCTGAACCTCCTGAGCAGAGTCTATGCAGTCCATCACTCTACTGCTAATGCCCTCCTCCTTCCCCAGGGGTAAATGTGAAGTTTATCCCTGTGAAGAGAAAGATTTCTTCCTAGGATCCACTCTTACAAATAGCCACTGTGTGGGTTTTCCAGTGCTGGTTAATAACAGCTATATTTTATTACTTAGAAAACATCTCTGCGCCAGCATCCCACATATTTCACACTTCACTTCCTTCGCATGAGTACTCTGGGGTCCCACTGCTTTACTGAAGTGTCATTCCAAGTTCCTCCAGCCGTTGTCTTCAACCCTGACTATCTCTGCAATGGGAGCGCTGGAACCAGGACCAACCAGATGTATTTATCTGCTCCAAAATTCTTCTTTATGGGCACTCAGCTGGCATGCATGGCATTCAACAAGCAGCTTTTATCACTGTGCTCTGATCCTCATGTCCCCTCAGATTTTTACCTGCTGTCACAGCCCACTTCATTCTCAAACTAAATCTCACTTTGTAATCACTGTACGCAATTCATTTGGGCAAGATATTTTGTTTGTTTGTTTGTTAGCCTTTTAGAGTGGGCAGCAGCAGATTCACACTCTTTTCCTTATCTTTGCTTTCCAATTGATACTTTCTCACCAAACCTTCAGGTTAAATCTCTTATCTGAGAGGGGAGGGATTTGCTGCTGTTCTCCTGCAATTTTTGCCCTGCTGGAACTTTTTCCTATTTATTCTAACCAAGTTCCCTACTTTTAAAATATCTGATCTAAACGGGCAGCGATCAGCACTGCCCAGGGGATCATGTACACTCACTGTCTGTATTAACTCCTGCTTTTTTCTTAGGGGTAAACTGAACCTCCCTCAAATACGCATCAAAACGGCTTTAAATAGCAGTCATCTGTGGTATTAATCAAGTTTCTTCTTAAAACCATCCCAGATGTGCCATTCAACCAGCTTATACTGGTTTCTGTAAGAACACCCACTGTTATTATTGTACCAACAGATTTTGCAACTTCCTTAATTTCGTTTAACACATGAAGGTCTTAAGTCGAGATCTTTCTGCAGCAATGAGGGTGTGCTAACAGCAGAGGGTTGCAGAAATCTGTGCAGCAGGACAGCTGACAGCGAGGGCTGTAGGCACCATGTGGACAAGGGTCTGGAAGCAACCAGGGGCCAGACAGAGGAGAAGCTAGATGCAAACTCAGCCTGACACAGCTAAGCATACACATGAACTGGACCATGTTCATTCAGAGCGCTTGCCTGATTTCATTTTTTTTCATCGACTGAAAGGTGGAGAATATGTCAGGAAAAGAGTCAAAATAGGCCCGTGGATGAGCAGGGACCCACAGCCACCCCATACCAAAGCTGTGTGGAAAAATGGTGCTTGGCAGAGGAAAAGGATCCTATAAAAAAAGCACTCCGTCTGGGCCTGGGACATTCTGAGCATTCTTCTGACCTCCACCCTCAGGCAGTGAGAAATTACTGCCTCTTGTGCGAGTAGGGAGAAAACAACAAGACAGACTGCTTTTAGCATGCAGGAGGTAGCTGAGTCACCTGCTTGAAGGGCTGGCTGCCTATAGTTGACCTCAACTGGCAGGTATTTCCTCTCTGGCCATGCTTTGGGGTGCACTGCCTGCACCAAGGTTTCTACCCTTGGTGACCCAGAATCACAGAATCGTAGGGGTTGGAAGGGACCTCCAGATATCATCAAGTCCAACCCCCCTGCCAAAGCAGGTTCCCTGCACCAAGCAGGTTTCCAGGAGAGTCTTGAATATATCCAGAGAAGGAGACTCCACAACCTCCCTGGGCAGCCTGTTCCAGTGCTCCACTGCCCTACCTCTCCTCCCAGGGAGAACTGGGATAGTGGTTCCCTTCATTAAAGATCCCACATGCACCCCATGGGTACCTGAAAGAAAGCGGAACCCAGAGTGCTCTCTGCAGGAAGACCCAATTCTCCCTGGATATGGAAGTTCAGCTACCTATTATCCTGTATCTTTAGTCTGGTTTATATTGCGTTTCCCACCCTGAAAATCAGAGATTAACTTACTAAACTCAAAATGATGAAAGCAAAGCCCGAAGAAGGCCCAGTGAAATGACAGCACACAAGACTGGAAAACACTTTTGCTTCAGGCCTTATTCAGTTGTACCCCTTAATACAAATGACCAAGCTCAGCATTGTAACGCCAGGGAAATCCAATAACATTTTCTCATGCAATGGGAACATTTTTGTAGGAACTTATATTTTATTTGCAAACTGGCTATCTGTTACAACCAGCAATTCAAATCTAAGCAATGGAGTAATATTTCAGAAATGATTAGAGCAAAACAAATAATCACATGAACGGTATTATTTTGCAAAACATGCGGGCCTTGGTAATTTGTGGGCTTTGGTGCTAAAATTGTGCTGTGCCTTTAATCAAGATAATTATGCAAACCTCTCTGAAGGTCATAAAGGGTTCAGGAGGAGGCCTTTTGATGATGGGATGCAGACCCAACACCCGTATTACATTGTTCTGATTAGAAATGCAGCACCGTTTTCTTCAGTTTCATGCTGTTCTTGAATGCGCAGTGGGAAACACCAGCATTTCTGACTCGCATATCCTGAGATTGCTTGGCACACTGCTGCAAAAAATCAGCTTTCTTCCTCCCGCTCTCTTACATGGACATGGAAAAGAGCCTTCTCTTTCCATCGCCATGCCTTCTAAAAACATTACATGAGAATTACAGCATTTATTTATTTTCTGGAAGGCAGCCAGATGGGAAAAAACAAAACAAAACAAAACAAAACACATAATCCTCTTTCAAAAATACCCCTCCCTGTGAATTGGATTATGTTGTAATCCGTTCTGGATCTATCCCAGGCCTGCTTGCCTTCTGGGGTGCAATGACAATGTTTTGGACGGTCTGCAGCGCTGGGTGGAGGGGGCGGACCACCGGCAGTCTATGATACAGCCCAGGTTTCTCTCCCACCTCTGAATTTTACAGCCACAAGGAAAAAACCTGTACACAGACTGGGCTTTGTCCATCTGCAAAGCACACGCTTAACCTGAGTTGCTGCTGCTCACGAGGTCACGGACATTGGCGCGTGACCATCTGGGGGCACTTCTGTAGTGGGGCTTTTCCCTCTGTGCCACCGCTGATGCTGCTCTGCTGATGTTTCACATGACTCTTCCCCTGCAAACTGTCACTCTTCTTTATTTCCTTTTTCTTCCTGAGTGGTCTCCGTGGCCACTCGTCTCCATCTGACTTTGCGGCAAGCTGGGGATTGCTAGCGTTCTGGAAACCCGATCTCTGTGTCTCCGGCTGCAGTATAGGGACCAGACCTCTCTTCAGCTCAAATTGAGGGCAACTCGATGACAATCTGAAGGGACTTCAGAGAGGGGAAAAAATGATCCAAGGCTTAGATGTGGGCTGAAGGAAAATGAAGGGAATGGGCTTTGCAGTATCTTGGCTGGATGATATCTAAGTGGGATATGATAATTCCTCATAAGTCTTAGGAGGATATAAACACTTAAAGGCAAAGGAATTGATTAGGACTGGAGAAGGAGGTATAAGTGGGATTAATGAGATGGAACTGAGAGCAGGAAAATTTATGCTTTACAGCAACATTTCCTATTAGCGAGATCTACTACAGCGTGGGGTAGGATTCCAAGGAGAAGCAATGGAAACACTGTTGCTTAAGCTACTTCAGAGAAGACTGGACAAACACTCAGGAACACGCTGTAGGGAACAATTCCACAGTGTTGGGGGGATGGAAAAGATGATCTAACATTAGTTGTTCTCATTTCTAATTTACGTGGTGACTTTATATTAAAGGTGGTTTTTATTATTATTGTTATTGTTATTACTGTATTTCTTGAGATGCTAGCCAGTTATCAGCAGAAGAGACATTCTAAAAAGTTCCTTCTGGTATTCTGTAATAGTCCTGTATTTCCCTGCTTCGCAAGTCTTGTCTATAATACATAAATGCATACAGGGCTGATGATTTATAGCAGGAACGTCATTCTCCATTCATCCCATTTTGCTAGGTTACTGTAGGATCTCTGACCAGTGGTTATCTTGTGTGCTTTATGAGCTACAACACTGAAGCACAGCACAGCAAATTGAGTCAGATGATTCAGTACGAATTTTCTGGCTTTGGAAAATTGAAAAGCCAGATCTTCAGTTTCATTTGATAACTATTTCTTTTTCCTATTACTTTTTCTTCACATGTGCAGGCAGTTTCATAGAATAATACTTAGAAAATCTTTGAAAATAGGACCTTAATAGGTGAAAGGCAGAAACAGGCATTATTTAGCACAAAGAGAAGAAGCACCACAAGAACGAGGGAATTCTTGCTGAAGACACATTTACTCCTGTAAGTGACTTTTACTGACTTTGTAATGCCATTCCAAAAGGCCTGGGTTCTATTTTTTGGTTGATTTACATCGTATACGTGAAAGTGCCAAACTCTCATTTCAAAAAGGGAGAGCAATAAAGCAATAAAGGTTTCCTTAACGTCTAACAATGTGAGTGATATCACAGGTAGCTCTGGGAGGTCCCTGAAGCTGACTGACCTGCTAGGAATGATGTAGCTAAAGCCTATCCTGGCGTAGGTGAGGATAAAATAGATGCTTTCTCAAGCTTCTTTCCAGCCTTAATTTCTAGTTATTTTTCTTGGAAATTTTCTAGACATCTAGCATTTGTGCAGATGCATATTAGGTCAGCTAAAACCAAACACTGATGGAGTATAAGGTCAAAATGGACTATTCAGCTTATCTTGTCCAGCATTTCTGAACAGTTTCCCAAGTGTGATCTCATGACAAAAAAAGAATAATAGGCCTTTTCCCCTCTTCTCAGCTGGAAAGGAGGGGCAGCTAACCTCTCATTGAAGATCTTAAGACCAGAAGGTTGAGAATAAAGACTGTAGTTCAGCCTCCAAATGGAGCTGTGTACAACGGCTCCTGATACAAATGGGAGCACTTAGTGCTAAAAGTCACTAAGTGACTAAGTCACTTAGGTGACTTAAGTGTGCAAATGGCAATATGCACAGACAGGACACAAGGCATGTCAAGAAAGGGACACGAGGTTTGCTCTTTGTCACATACCAAATTGATTGCCAGTGGAAGGTGCCTGATTTTCAGGGACTTCTCCTAACACTATAACTGTTCAGAGACTCACGCTAGCTAATGCTGACTTCATTAGAGCTCTCTGGTCAATGAAAGCAATTGTGTGTTGTCTAGCGGCTGGACTGGAAGACAGGAAAGGATTTGATTCAATGCTAGCTGTGCTCCTGACTCATAGCTTACCCTCCAAGTAAGTCATCTGACCTTTCTGCAGTTCAGTCAATCTGGCTGGAAAGTTGTGCGGGAAGAAGGGAAAAGCAGTATTCTTGGTGAAAACCACAGACGGAATCTGAGCTGAGTTTTCCTAGGTTAAAAAAGAAAGAGACAATATCAGAATGTGAGTCAGAATCGGAACCTCCCTGGCCTTTTCCACTCAGAACGTCTGGTAGTATCATCATTATCATAGCAGAAAATCATTTACCTCAAGTCTTGCTTCTAGCTCAGAAACCTAAAGGAAATACTCAGTGCTTGTGCCAGGTACACTCAGCTCCTGAATAGATTGAAGGACTATCTGAACAAATTTAATAACTTTGGACTTCTCTACATGGATCATATTTAAAGGGTATAAATAACTACAGCAAAAACTGGAACAGAGATGGATTTATATTACTAATATATTTTAAAAAAAATTTCTGATGGGAAAATGGAAAAAAGTAGGGACTTAAAAATACCTTTTTTTTTTTTTTCCTTGTGTTATGCTTTCTGTCAGATTTTGTACTATAGAGACCTAAAGAACATTTTCTGGCAAAATACCAAGTCAAATACAACATGGTGTAAGTTCCTAATAATGGAAAGAAAGTTGCGGTGGGAAAGTGTCCAGAGCAGATTTTGTAGACAGAAGGTCCCTGAATTGGCTGCAAAAACAATTTCTTTTTCAGAATGTCTTCCTCATTTTGAAAATATAAATAGCTCTAATTAAGTGCCCCAACCTTTTTCTTTTAGTATAAGTAGGAAGTGAAGTTGTAAAAGATTGATTTTGGCCAGCGCTGCCATAAAGTGTTGAAAACAATAACGACCTGTAAGGGAAACCAAAATTCAATGGGGGCTGGATTTGTGGTTCTGAATATCTTGAAAATGCTTCTTTTTTTTTCTTTTTTTTTTTTCTTTTTTTTTTTTTTTTTGTGAGAAACCTCTGCTGGACCCATGAAATCAGACCCCCCTCTGGATTTCAAGAACATATGAACTAGAGCAAAAGAGCCTCACTCTGACAGATTGCTCATGTGGAGGACTGTTGTATGAAAAGTCCTATTGAAGACACGTCCATGCACACAGCCCCATGGGATGTGTTTCTGCATGTCTGTGACTATCAGGAGGATAATAAGAACCCAATAGCACTCTGTAGTGGAGGAACCATGCAAAATGCAGACGTTGAATGGGGCTGCTAGTATTTTTAGTTCTCAGCCCCTGATGGAAACAGAACCTCCTTCCAATTTGATACCAGGAGAAATATTGTGATGCTTTGATCTGATGGTAGAAATATCAATGGAAACGAAGTTTTTATACTGTTACCATCACACTGCTTGTCATTTTTTAGGGGTCTACAAAAGACCTGCCATACAAAAAATGGTTAGATATTTTCACAGTTCTACTTAGTCTTCTAAATTTCTCTTTGGAAGTCTAGAGAAGTATTTAGGTCTTTCTTGCACTAGACAGAGGGATTATCAGAACTTTCACATTAACTTGATTCAGTAAGTATAATGACAGCATTACCTAATGGGAGCCATTAGCAGGAAGGGGCTGGAACATGGGGATGGTTTTCCCAACCAGAATTTTTACTGTTATAAGACGTGATACAGATAGTACATTTTTATGAGTCTCAGGGACACCACTTCTCCATCAGCATCATGGAAATACAAGAAACCTCTCGACTTTATTTTCAATTAGGTGGTGAAAAATTAGCAAGAAGCTCCTTGTGGTCTCCTGTGAATTTATTACAGGCACTAAGCTCTTGCATTAAAAGGCATAGAGAATATAACAAACAATAGAGATCCGGCAAGATTTCAATGTAAACAAATCTGGACTGAAATTGTAGTCTCTGAACTCAGACAGGACCTCGACCCAAGCAGGATTTACATGCAGAAATTGCTCTCTTGGCTTACACACACAGCATCAGAACTGCAGTACTAGATGTGAAACGCTGTGAGCTCTGATGCTCTGGAACATGGCCAGGCAATCTGTGTCACCTGGGAAGTTAAAAATGTTTGGGTGTAGAGTTTGATAGGAATTATCAACGCCGTGGGCACGTCTCATCTATTAGTGTTCAGAATAGTTTCAGAAGTGTATCAAACTGTGTAGACTTTTATTTAAAATTCCCTTGTTACCTCTTCTGTGTTCGAAAAAACTTATTTCTCAAATGGCTGCTTTTATCTCATGTGATGCAATCTGGAGGTGAACGTCACCTCTCACGTGCTTCTACCTTTTTAGCGCGTTACCTCTGCACTATTAGATCACATGAAATGGCTAACTTCAAGGAGTTAATCATTTAGTCATAAAGTACAAGCTATACTACAGAAACAATTTTCATGATACAGCACTCCCTGCCTCCCTAAGTTTTCTCATTTCTTGAACCCTGATTTTTACAGTAATACTGCAAAACTTACCTTACATTGCAACACATAAAAGCAACAGAACCAAATCCAGAGGGACAGATGCAACAAAATATTTCTTTTCCCCATGTGTTGAGCTGTCAAATGCAAGCCAGCTGCACTCTAGAATCATAGAATCATAGAATCACCAAGGTTGGAAAAGACCTAAAAGATCATCCAGTCCAACCGTTCACCTATTACCAATAGCTCCTACTAAACCACGTCCCTCAACACTCTAGAAACAATGTATGCATGGCAATTACACACGAGCTAAACATGCCCTGATTTCTCCATAAGCATGCAGCAGAATAAATAAATCTACCTGCACATATGGAGACTTTGCCTTACTCTCATCTTGAAGGCCAAATCTTTAAATGGAGGATTGCCTTTGGAAGATGAAGCTGCTAGATTAACTTTTAATTTAGCATCATAATAGTATTGGCTCAAGTACAGAGCAGTCAGAAGGCCCTAAGATATCTTGTGGGATGCAGAATCTGGTATCGACTGTGCTCTGCCATCATGACTCAACACGCCTTACAATACAATTACTACAGTGGCTGTTATTCTGTTCACCTACAGAAATCTGGAAGACGTGAGATTGTTGCTGGTTTCTGTACTTCCCCTCTTTCCTGTTCTCTATGTGAAAGCTTTCCTACCTCTCACTCAGGCAGGATCAGGGAAATAATTCTGAGAAAATTTCTTCCCTAATTCTCCTTTACCGTGGAGTTCATCAAGATGATCTACAGACAGAAGTTTACTCCTATTTTCTCCTATTTTCTTTTTTGAACTAGTTGGTCAAACAGCCAGATAATTCTTCTAACTCATCTTTCCATGAGGTCTACTGAAACCATGGTAATGTGCTTCAGAAACACAGGGCCCAATATTGTATGCTAATTTAATTATATAGATGATGTAACAGAAAGCATTTATTTAGGCATCCTGTTCTTAAGCTGAGCAAAAAATAAACAAGAATAAGAAATAAGCATGAGAAAATACAGCAGGTAAAGCATGTGGAAGTGAATTTATATGAACTCCTGTTCTGGATACAGATGCAACTTGCAGTACTTTATGAGATTTGGCTCCTTCTATTGAAAATTGTTCATGTAAATATCTTGGTATACCTAGAAAACTCTGATTACTCCTGGCAAACTTAGAGAGTGAAGTCTTGTTTTCTAAACCATA